GTTTTGCCATTGCCTTCTTCTGTGTGTGCATGGAGTAATTGTTGGGATGCCACGGAGGAAACCTCTGTGTTGGCTAGACCACGGCCTTGCCCAACACAAGTTATAAATTCGGGCACCGCCGGGAATCGAACCCGAGACCCCAGGATTACAAGGCCAGCGTTCTAACCGCTAGACCACCGTGGCGGTCATTAAGAACTACAAACACTAAAGCGAACTGTGGGTCATGACAACTGTTGCCATACCCAGAAGGCAGTGGTGTTACAGCCAGTCATGCAAACCATAAGGCCAAAAATCCCTTAACAGCATGGATATAGTTATAATAATTTATGCAGACAACACACACATATATACATAATTCTGTTAATAGATTACTAAAAGGCACTGTTCTGGCAATTGCAAGGAAGGACTGATGGAAAACCACAATGAATATTTTGATAGATGGTGTCCCATTCAATGTTCAAACTCGATACTCCCATACATGTCAGATGCATTACCCCTGCTCCAGCCTTCTCAGTAATAAATGTTTAATAGAGAAGAGAGTAGTATAGAATATTAGGAAAGAATGCCTGAAGAAACATCATCAAAATCCCCACATATTTTTATTGTGGTGCACTAACTTTCGTGCAACTGCTTCATGGGTATGCTACAACAACCATATAGGGGCTAGAAGGTCATGAAAGATATTTTTCTACTCACGGAATGGAGGTGAATTGACAAAAGTATTACACTACATTGTTATGCTATAATGTTACTGTTTACAGTGTACTGTTTACTTATAAGATTAAGTTTTAAACAACAACACAAAGGAACACAAAGGTGAGGCTACTTTGTAGTGCTTTATTATGTTGAATTTCTGTAAGGTATTTTGGTACTGTAATAGACAATTTAAATAAAAAATATGTGCTAACAAAGGCTTTGACTTGTTTAGCCCTCGGTGGACTAGTGGGCGTCCTCGCCACTGGACCCAAGGTTCATGGGTTCAAAGCCAGCGGTACCATGTCATAGATTTATGGCATATAAAAGAACCTTACAAGAATGAACAAGATGTTTCGTAAGCAAAATTGTAACCCAAGTCTATCCTGATTTGCTACTAGATGGTTCCAGTAGACAAATCAGGATTGAGTAGAAATTGTGCAAACGCATTGGGCTTGTCACTCACTACTCATAAATGCACACTTCAAAAAGACAAAGAACCTCCCACACGGGAGGAGGCCAAGGCTCGGGTTTGGGCTGTTGCGCCATAGAAAGAAAGAATAGACAAATCATTTCAACAAAAAATATTGCCAATAAAGGTTTTGACTTGTTTAACACTTGCAGAATATAATTTTCTGTAAGTCCTTGCACTTTAATGTCTAAAGTGACAGATGTCCATCATTTCTTGGAATAAATAAATATTTGTGTTCATAAAACACAAGACATGGTAGCCCCATCTCTGGCACTGCCAATCATATCTGTCATCCCACTTGCCACCTACCACATCCCCTATATAAGGCTTCCAAAAAATACCCAACCAACATATTCACATGAAGACGGCGACTGCAATGTTTGCAAAAATGTTGGACAACTTTTCGACATTTGACGTGACTCATCCCTGAAACCCAAAGTTTTGCACTGACCTCCAGTTGTGAAAACCTAAGGACAAGAATTCAACAGCAACCATTTACCTGCTAAGAGAGCGGAAAGTCCAGGCATTGACAAGCCAAGGTTAGACCCAGTTGTTGATGTATTTGTATCAGCTGTAGTGTTCCCTAGCGAAGTCAACGACAGTCTTCTTGAAGCTGGTGAGGAACTGAGGAGTCTACTTGAATGGTTCAATGTTACAACCTGCTGAGATGTTGCCTTACTCGCACCTGTAAGAATAACAAACAATTATTTCCCATAACAATAATCTAGTTCCATAAGCACATATGTAATTATCTTAATAAAAAGTATAAATTAAATAAATAATCATGTCTTATATGATTTATAAATAAATATAGAACCAATAAATTCTGATGTGAAATCTGTCAAATCTAGCAGAGTATATACTGAACCTTTGTGGCATGTGTGAAATATGATGTTACTGTAAGCGAAGTACATAAATTACAAATGTTTAAAACTGAAATGATCAGAAAAATATCTGGGCCTGAGAACTGTGGCTAGCACGGAGAAGACAAGAGATACAGACACAATTTTGCTGTGAAATCCTCTTGGAAAATGTAAAGCTGGAACAATGAGAAGGCGATGGGAGAATTTCAGAGAGACAGGCTGTAACAAGTTTTGCCATTGCCTTCTTCTGTGTGTGCATGGAGTAATTGTTGGGATGCCACGGAGGAAACCTCTGTGTTGGCTAGACCACGGCCTTGCCCAACACAAGTTATAAATTCGGGCACCGCCGGGAATCGAACCCGAGACCCCAGGATTACAAGGCCAGCGTTCTAACCGCTAGACCACCGTGGCGGTCATTAAGAACTACAAACACTAAAGCGAACTGTGGGTCATGACAACTGTTGCCATACCCAGAAGGCAGTGGTGTTACAGCCAGTCATGCAAACCATAAGGCCAAAAATCCCTTAACAGCATGGATATAGTTATAATAATTTATGCAGACAACACACACATATATACATAATTCTGTTAATAGATTACTAAAAGGCACTGTTCTGGCAATTGCAAGGAAGGACTGATGGAAAACCACAATGAATATTTTGATAGATGGTGTCCCATTCAATGTTCAAACTCGATACTCCCATACATGTCAGATGCATTACCCCTGCTCCAGCCTTCTCAGTAATAAATGTTTAATAGAGAAGAGAGTAGTATAGAATATTAGGAAAGAATGCCTGAAGAAACATCATCAAAATCCCCACATATTTTTATTGTGGTGCACTAACTTTCGTGCAACTGCTTCATGGGTATGCTACAACAACCATATAGGGGCTAGAAGGTCATGAAAGATATTTTTCTACTCACGGAATGGAGGTGAATTGACAAAAGTATTACACTACATTGTTATGCTATAATGTTACTGTTTACAGTGTACTGTTTACTTATAAGATTAAGTTTTAAACAACAACACAAAGGAACACAAAGGTGAGGCTACTTTGTAGTGCTTTATTATGTTGAATTTCTGTAAGGTATTTTGGTACTGTAATAGACAATTTAAATAAAAAATATGTGCTAACAAAGGCTTTGACTTGTTTAGCCCTCGGTGGACTAGTGGTTAGCGTACTCGCCACTGGACCCAAGGTTCATGGGTTCAAAGCCAGCGGTACCATGTCATAGATTTATGGCATATAAAAGAACCTTACAAGAATGAACAAGATGTTTCGTAAGCAAAATTGTAACCCAAGTCTATCCTGATTTGCTACTAGATGGTTCCAGTAGACAAATCAGGATTGAGTAGAAATTGTGCAAACGCATTGGGCTTGTCACTCACTACTCATAAATGCACACTTCAAAAAGACAAAGAACCTCCCACACGGGAGGAGGCCAAGGCTCGGGTTTGGGCTGTTGCGCCATAGAAAGAAAGAATAGACAAATCATTTCAACAAAAAATATTGCCAATAAAGGTTTTGACTTGTTTAACACTTGCAGAATATAATTTTCTGTAAGTCCTTGCACTTTAATGTCTAAAGTGACAGATGTCCATCATTTCTTGGAATAAATAAATATTTGTGTTCATAAAACACAAGACATGGTAGCCCCATCTCTGGCACTGCCAATCATATCTGTCATCCCACTTGCCACCTACCACATCCCCTATATAAGGCTTCCAAAAAATACCCAACCAACATATTCACATGAAGACGGCGACTGCAATGTTTGCAAAAATGTTGGACAACTTTTCGACATTTGACGTGACTCATCCCTGAAACCCAAAGTTTTGCACTGACCTCCAGTTGTGAAAACCTAAGGACAAGAATTCAACAGCAACCATTTACCTGCTAAGAGAGCGGAAAGTCCAGGCATTGACAAGCCAAGGTTAGACCCAGTTGTTGATGTATTTGTATCAGCTGTAGTGTTCCCTAGCGAAGTCAACGACAGTCTTCTTGAAGCTGGTGAGGAACTGAGGAGTCTACTTGAATGGTTCAATGTTACAACCTGCTGAGATGTTGCCTTACTCGCACCTGTAAGAATAACAAACAATTATTTCCCATAACAATAATCTAGTTCCATAAGCACATATGTAATTATCTTAATAAAAAGTATAAATTAAATAAATAATCATGTCTTATATGATTTATAAATAAATATAGAACCAATAAATTCTGATGTGAAATCTGTCAAATCTAGCAGAGTATATACTGAACCTTTGTGGCATGTGTGAAATATGATGTTACTGTAAGCGAAGTACATAAATTACAAATGTTTAAAACTGAAATGATCAGAAAAATATCTGGGCCTGAGAACTGTGGCTAGCACGGAGAAGACAAGAGATACAGACACAATTTTGCTGTGAAATCCTCTTGGAAAATGTAAAGCTGGAACAATGAGAAGGCGATGGGAGAATTTCAGAGAGACAGGCTGTAACAAATGGAGGTATATAGAACTCGTTCAGAATTGCGTCCAATGGTCAACATTGGTATAAATAATCTTGCATCTTCATGTTCTGCTATTGAAGTGCTAGTCTGTTACTAGGCATTGTTCCTTTGTAGCATTGTCTTTTAATGTTTTCTCTATGTGTTTTCACTGTTTATAAATGTAGGCACATGCATGCACCACTCACACGGTAAGATTGACGCACACACAAATTATAAAATCACAAGCATCTTTCCTCACATAATACAAACTGCAAGCTAAAAATCATCTCTTCCACATGAATTTCATAGCTGGCTATCCAGTTTCACGGCATTTTCATGATTATCAATGCGTATGCATCTTGAATAAAATTTTACAGACCTGCATTTGCTGTAGTAATAGGAACAGAAGAAACTCCCACATTGGATGTTTGTAATGCGGTGAACCCTTGACTCTTGGATGAGATGGTAAAGGCCTGTTGTGTTTGTGATGCTGGTGTTGTTGTTGCGGGAGGTGAAGCAAGCTGAGAAGCCAGAGACGAGAGTGTCACTCTCACTGGTTGCTGCTGCTGCTGCTGCCCCGTTGCATTATTCTGAACTAATGTATTCCCACTTGTAATACTATTATTAGGTAATGTACTATGGTTCACCAAACGTGGATTAAGAAGATTTAATGTCATTTTTCGGGCAAGAATTTTCTGACTGATGGCTTGAGCAGTAGCTGGATTCACATTTGTATTAATGTTTGCCACTGTGGATTGTGAACTGTTCAGAAGGCTTAGCATAGCAGAATTGTTTGAACTGCTTGTTACTTGAACTGAATTTGCAACAGATGATCCAACACCACTGGTGGTACCAGAAACAGCGACGGTTGTAGACGCTGTAGCAGCATTTGAATTTGCCTGTGCTGCCGCTGCTGCTGCTGCCGCCGCTGTCAAAACAAACATATATAGTAAAATACTACTTATGACTACTTACAGGCAATACACATAAATACATTGAGTTTGCTATTTTATAACATTGTATCAATTCTGAGGTTATGTAACACTGAATAAGAAATGTCCAAATGAGTATCAATGATTACTCAGGTGATATGGGAAGAAGACATCACAGCATATTTCAAGGTGTTATATTTATATCAGTATTTGCATGGAAGGACTAAGTAAAATCATGAACAATATATCAGGACATCCACTCCTAGCCCAGAATTCAAACTAGCTTTCTCCAACATTCAAACCAATACTTTGTCATGAAAACCTACCATCTCACATGAAGTAACTCTGTATATTAAACATAAAGATAGCAGAAAAATTTAAGTAGCAGGATGCTTCATGGTTTGCATTCTTAACCATGAATTATGCAGGTTATATAACAGTATTACATAAATTACAGACATCATGCAGCATTGAAAGAGATAAGAATGATTATAAATTATGAATAAATAAGAGTGATTTAAGAAAACATGGTCATGGACTATTTAAAGGTATAGATATTGGCAAACTATTTGATGTATGAGTGACTGATATGAGTGGCTCATAATGGTCGCGGTGAAAGTCTCAGTCATGCAATGGAAAAAACACATCTCAGATTTGTTATTGACAGCATTTTAAATTGTGCAGTTGGGTCCATAGTGTGAGTTACATGAATATTCTGTTTGTGTTTTAAGATTTTGTTTTACTGACAAAGAGTATTATATTTTTATTCAAGTGGCACACTTCCTGAGGACAACATAATTTGAATAAAGGTAGAATCACTATTAATTTCCTAGAATTGTGACATCACCCACATGCCAAGTACTTTGATGATATCTTTACTATAATAGCATTCACCATAACATATGAGTAATATAATGAAATCAATAACAACAATTGCTGATATGTCATCCTAGATTCAAAATGGGCACCCCCTTAATGCAAGTAAGACATATTGATTGATTATATGCAACAGAAAACCACTTTCTATGCACCCATCAGATTGAATAGTGATAAAAACTAATTCTTTGGCACAATCAGAGCAAAGAAAAGGTTAAATATGTATAATTTCTAAAGCATGAAAATTAAAAATTTAAGAGAACAAATGACAATCGACTTACCAGCAGCCTGCTGTTGAAACTGTTGTGCCGAGTTCATTAAGCTGGTGACTAAAGCACTGATGGCTGGGTTGGTTATGTGACGGGGACCACTTGAGGAGGATTTCTGAACCTGACTAGGTGCTGGCTGCAACGACAACTGCATCTGAGGCTGCTGTTGCTAAAATAAAACGATACAGCAAACATCTGTACAATTATATGTAAACATCTGACCTATAATAATTATGTTCATTGTTCTCAAGGCTAGCCATATTTTTCACATAACTTCACATGTCCAAAACATTGCTGAACATTTATCAAGAAGGCTCATCATATAAAAAACTTACACCACATTTATACTAAATTTTGTATTCACTTATATATATATATTTCATAATTATACTAATTATCTTAATGTTATATCTGAAGGAGTCCAGCATATAAATAGTTTTCCAGTCTAATGTTGGAGTCCTCGCAACAAACAAAAATGAAGAAAGTAAATGAAATTTAGTCCTTGTGGTTTGTCATATGTTAAAAAGAAGGATTTTAAAGGAAATCCTGTGTCACATCAATTCAAACATTGGGAAGTCACATCTCACTTTATTTTAGCAACAATGTTACTAAAACAAAGTAAATCTCATATAACAAACTCACAATCTCTCTCTTGAACAAGGTTATTCTTAAGAAGCTGATAGTAAATTTTACGGAGCACAAGGATTCATTACCATGTTCACACGAGTCTGTCACTGCACCAGATGAATTCAGTACACAACCTCCATCCTATTTTCCTATGATCCATTTTAATATTATCCTCCCATCTACTCACAGATTTTCTTCTGAATGGTGTTTTCTTTTAAATTGTCTTTAAAATGTGTCCTGAAAACCTTATACAGACATCCTGGACATTCCAAGTTCTAAACCTTATGTCCATTTTCTGCTGCTTAGATTTTTCTGACTCAATTGAAGTCTGCAGTTACACGTAACATTTTGTAACAAGTTAGCTTTTAACAGTAAGGAGTTTCAGCCCAATCCCCGAGCTGGAGGACCACCCCTTTTTGACTGTCACCAAAAGCCTGTGGTGAGTTCACACATAAATAAAAGTATTCTGGTTCCTAGAACCATTTACCTTGCATTTGATCTCTTCTTCAACAGTGAATAAAAAATGATACTTTGTTGTTCTGAATACATTAAGTACATCAAGTATGGACTTCATATTTTGTTACCCAATGCATCAGACTACCAGACCAGTGACAATAAAAGCACCAACAAATATTTATATTTTAAAAATAACAAAAATTCCTAAGTAGGATATAAGGTTTTCACAGCAGAAAAATTCCTGTTGTAAATATAGAGTCTAACCTACTGAAATCATGCTGAAATCACAAATTACTTAAATATTTAAGTAATGTATTTAACTCTATATAATTTTGATAAACAGACTGTTTCCATATTACTTTCACCCAAGTTAAAGTGTGAATACCAATATAATACTTAAGGTTTGTATTCAGAAGGCAACTGTAAATCTAAATGAAAAGACCAACTATCCTTCATTAATCCTTCCACAATTGAGAGAATAACTGTTCTTGCTTCATCTCTCCCAGTAAACAATTCACAAGAATTCAAACTGACACAATAAAACCTCTGAAATTGACAAGCCTCTCAAACGAACACAAATGGATGACCACAAATTCAGTGGTTTAATATGGTAGCTCCAAAAATTTCCACGACATGTGTCAAACTTTGCATGCGGCAGCACTGATAAATCCTCAAAATGCAGCTGCACACCTCCACGTAAGCTCTTACAACTGTTCAAAAGATTGCTGTCTTCTGGGTTGCGCTGTGTAATCTGGTAGAAGTATACCAACGTTTCAGAGGTCTTTGCCCTGCTGATGGAGGCGGCAAGCACCTCTGAAACATTGGTAAATGTTTGCCAGACTATACTGTGCAGCATTCCAGAAGACAGTAATCTTCATACTTCCAGCTGTTAGAACCGGAAATCTCAATGATTTGTAACAATACTTGATTCAATGCATTGCAATAACATTGGATATTATATTATCTGAGATTTATTCAATATATAAAGCATTTAAAGAATTTGATCTAATCCTGATTTCATGTGATTGGTTTTCATTGTAGTGACAGATACTGATTTAGTGCTTTTTATTTACAAAATAAGTGGCACTAATCTATGACTTAATTTGACTTCACATATCTCTTCAGCGTTCCAAGTGTTTTGGATTGACCAAATCAAAAATAAACACAAAAAACATATTTTTGTATAATGATAACTAATTGCTTGAAGAAAGGTGTACAGCCAGCTTCCAAAATATCTTGTATATTGAATACACCTCAGACAATAAGCAATGTGTAATATAATATTGGCATAATCCAACAGTCACTCTTGAATGTAATTAAATTTACCAGAGAAAATTAAATACTCTTTTAAGCTATTATGAAATTGTCACAGACATGCACCGTGAAAACATATTCTCTTCCACACATTGTTCATTATTCAAAATGGAATATGATAATGGCACAGAAGAAGTAAACTTGCAGTTCTTTTATAAATCAGTTACCATATCAAACATATAAAAAATCAGAAAATGTATTAAAGTTTTGGTAATAATCTTATTTACACATATACAGAGTGACTGAAAAGTCACACAACCCATATTAAACTATTTATTTATGGCTGCAATTCAAGACAATTCAACTGCATTAAGAAACACAGAATAATACCTTGGCTATACAAGAGCTCACACAGATTATTTCATGTTGGAACCTGCTCACGCCAGTCTGTCAGTCGTCTTCAAACAGTCAAAGTGCAAGAATGTCTTTTTCACAGTGTTCATTGTCAAACACTACCCGGCATTTCATTCTTACTTAACTTGCAAGAATAAGTTTAGGGACACATTTAATGATTCTCCCATGCCAAACAAATTGACAATATTTTGTCTGGAAAATTGTTTCCATGGCACAGGAACTCATTAACGGATTGCATCAAATACGAGGAAAAGAATGAACGCACACATCCCTGAACATGGTGGACATTTCCAACACTTATCGTCATTTGTTTTCTGATTTCAATGTAATTTATTTTTTGACAGACAGATCAGGAATGGGTTTTGTGACTTTCCAATTGCCCTGAATTTTTATATGATGAGCTATTTTTGAAAACTTTTATAAAACTGAATTTGATGCATATGGACACTAACAGTGTGCATCTATCCACTTTAGTAAATATATATAATATGTATATAACAGACAGAAACATACTGATGTCAATGATGGTGCAGAACCATTGTTGACAGAACTCTGTGATGTAACACCAGCCATCGAAGACACACCGACTCCCGTTCCCACTGCTGTCGATACTGATGTCAGAGAATTCGTAACATTTGGCAACACTATATTAGTTCCTGCAATGTTCGGTGCAACGACTGTTCCGTTTATAACATTTGCTGGTGTCGCAGTAGATAAATTGTTAATGGAAGAATTACTTACATTAGCAACACTGGTAATGTTCGTCACAGGCGGTGGCGACACTATCGAATTATTAAGACTTAACACTTGAGACTGATGAGCGTGTAAATGTTGACTTTGAAGTTGCTGAGTTTGTACCTGAATCTGATGGGCTGGACTATGATTTGAGGCTTGCATATGCAGATGATGGGCATGAACAGAAGTCTGTATCTGACTTGCAGCTTGCAACAGCTGATTTTGCTGGGGAACAGTTTGTTGGTTTTGAACCTGAATTGTATTTTGCACTTGAACTTGTAGTTTCTGAGCCTGGGCCTGTGCCTGCTGTGCCGCACGGGCGTTCCTGTCCCTCATGCTGGTTGTACAGGTTACTCTTGTAGGCTGGCCAGGAACAATGTGGGTTATTCTAACTGACTTACGGCCCTCCTCAGTAAATATCTCAGTAAACTGCTGGATGTAACGGTTGGCCTGAACTCTTGTTCCAAGGTAAAATCTATAAAACGTAAACATAAAATAATGCTCTATGGATGTAAACTCAGATCAAAATGGCTGACACAAGCAAGGGGCATAGATATATATACACACACACAGACGCATGCACGCACATACATACACACACAAATAATGTCTGCTTCATGCTTGAAGTAAATGAATACTTTATACATCAAATCTCTGAAGCTGACAGTCTCACGAGGGCACAAGACAGTAAATGCACAGAAGCATCCAAAACTAAGCCACCACTGTTTGTGTCAGTCAATTTAGACCAATGGTACGCAACCTTTTTTGTTCGCGTACCCCCAGATATAATTTCTCTTCAACTTTGTACCCCCAAAGTTGTTGGTGTATAATTCAAGTTATACATAGTATATAATCTACATCTGCAATAAATTAAATAAATTATATTACTGATTATTCAGTGTTTATCATAATTTTTTTTTTTTTTTTTAAATTTCACGTACCCCCTAAGATGTCTTTGCATACTCCAGGGGTTACACGTCCCCAGGTTGAATACCACTGCTTTAGACAATACAGTAATAGAGAGACAGTACAAAAATCAATGATTTTGGTTTCACAGCAAACACTTTGAAGCTGCAGCTTCAATAAATAATATTTAAAACTTCCCTCCTACCCCAAAGAAAACAAAGAATCTCAAATTACAAAGATAAACTGCTTGCTGCTGTTTAAGGAAATACTCACTATTCACTGTGATATTCATACAAAACTCATGAAACAACCAACGCAAGAACACTTTGCAGACAAAATTTAAAAAAAACATTGAATATTAAAGAAGGTGGTATATATAATTGCCACTGGGTTTTAAAGTTTTAATATAATAAAACAGTAATAATGAGTATATTCAGAAACCTTAATGTATTCACGTGGGGGGGAGGCACCTCCTTGCATCTGTTGCTATTGCAGTAGCATGCACAAGCACAAGAAACCAGTTTATTTTGTTGTGTTAGATTTAAAAGGTTGTATATTTACTTCTTGTTTGACAGCAAAAACTCAACTGACCCTTAACACATTAGGCACTGTGACAAACCAAAAATTGTCTCAGTAAATTAAACAAAGACAAATGGTCAAATTTCTGAACATTATGTGGCATGGACTGAAGGTTTCTCTGCATAAAGCTATGAATGTTCCACAAGACTCTCTTAGATAATATACAACATACTGCAAGCACTGGAAATGTGAACAAAATCTGCCAGATAACTTTTAAGTATTATTTAGATAAACTTTGGGCTACAGAGAGTTAAATAATATACACTACAGTGTGGTCAGCTAGGGTGTGAATGTGTTAACATCAGTTAAAACATGTTTAGACAGAAATAAATGTTTCAGTATTAAGGCAGTAAAATAAATAATTAGATAAATAAGTAAACATAAATATGTCAAAACACAAAATGATGTCATAACATATATAGCAATTCAAAATTCCACAAATGCTAAAAGACAATAGTTACATTTTACATATATTACAAAAATATTCACAATTATAATATAAAAACATATTTCAAGCCAACATAATTTCAGTCAATGCATGAACAAAACTTAGGTAAGAAGTATACAAATAAATTACAAACCATAGAAATGCAACACTTGAAAACCAGTGAAAGATAGAATGGAAAATGACAGAATAAGATAACAGATATGAAATTTATGAAATGGAAATAAACAGAATGAAATTACCTAGTTTCATTCACAGAACACAATAATGTGGATTACATTTCGGAAGAAAGAATACAAGGGTAAAAAACATCAAGCTAGCAGGTGTCAGCACCTACCGAATATGAAGCAGAAACTGCAAATAAACAAAATATATAGAAATTTATAAGTTCTTACTTGCACGCAGTGCCATTATCCTCATTTTGTTTGTAGTCTCTGTCCACATACAGCTCTCCCAGGTATTCAGCATTGGATAGCCGCTGAAAAATGGAGAGCTTAATGTGGTTTATTTTTCCTTCAGGACTTTCAGATTCCAGAATATACTCCTCAACAAGCTGAGGAGAGCAGTCATTTGTTTCGCGAGGACGTTCGTATGCTCGGGCAAACCTCATAACGTCCACGCCACCTTCAGGTACAGTGAGATCTGGCATCGTAGAGTCCAATGGAGAAGTAGGAGAGGGATGAGGCACTGGCAAGCCATTTTCACATGGCTGAAAACAGACAGAACATAACAAATGAATGGGCAACATGAGGCAGCCTACTATTTCAAATTATAACACGCATGCAGATAACAAGTGTAGTCAGAAGGCAAGTACTGTGTGGTAACTAAGGATACATCAACTTTCTTAAGTTTAGTCAGAGTTTAATATTCAAAGAAATGTTCATATTATCACAACCATCTGTTTACAGTGATGAGTTATTTGCGAAGGGGATCCACTACCTGGTGTGTCAACAATATGCCTCCCTGAACGCCAATTATAAGTTTTTTTAATAGCCTCTACTCCTTTACCCAGAACACCCCCCAAATGGATTTCATTTGAACAAGCCATAAACAGAAATACAGTACATATGTATATACATATCTTTGATATTATGAGTTATGTACTTATTAGGACCATTGCTACAACTGTAATTTGTAGACTAACAGAATAATTAATTCAAGAAGAATGATCAATTGTATTAGTGCATAGAATAAATCTAATATCAATAAGAACTCATGTGTAATTACCAATTTAATTACAATATATAAAAAAATATACAGAAAAGTAAAACATACCTTCTTGAGCAGCTTACTATCAGAAACTGGTGTGTTATGAGTTTTTGCTCTCCATCGAGCGATGAAATCATGTAATTGCATGTCATGATGAAGACAGTGTTCCTCTAGTTTCCGCTTCCTGTTTACTGACACCTGCAAAATATAAAATGAGGTTATTACTTCAGTTAAATTTATCTACAAGTTCCACAAAATATTTTATTAAACTTTCACACACTTAAATTCAGCGACTCCAATAGTTACTTAATTACAGATATAAACATCATATTACATCATATGTAATGGTTGCAATGAAACAAATTGATTCTGCTAAGTACTTAATATGCCATCACAGTGGCTGCGTGGTCTGAGGCGTGGGACTCGTGTCACTTGGTCACTGGGACCATGGGTTCGAATTACACTCAAGGCAAGGATGTTTGTCCGCGTCTTTCTGTGTTGTGCTGTCCTGTGTACAGGTAGAGGCCTTGCGATGGGCCGATGACTCATTCAAGGAGTCCTACCAACTGTCTAATAGATCAAAGTCAGCAAAAGTTGGGACCCGCAGATGCTCAAGGCACTGAAGAACGGGTCACCTAAGTATCCTAAGTAAGTAAGTACTTAACACTGAAGTAGATCTGGCAATGAAATAAACTTCAGATTATCTACAATTTCTTTACTAAAATTTCTAAAAAAAACATTGTGTGGAACAGAAATTCAAAGCTGGTCAAAATGTTCTATATGTAACACCAAGCAAGAGAACCGTAAATGTGGGAGCCTAAAATCAGAATTTCACTGTACCGTTTCCGTAAGTGCCATAGTCACTATTTACAATCTCTATGATATAGCTTGTTACTATTTTGCTACCAACATTTAATAATCAATTACATTATGAAGATAGATACAGTACCTGGGAAAACTTCTTAGCACAACGCCTCAGAGGTCTGGTGTTTAGAGCATGACGATGGTACTGCATACGATTGCTAACAATAGAAACAGCAGGTGAAGGATCCAGACAGAGAGGACCCTGCGTTGCTAAAACTAGCTGACTCTCCAAGGCTAGCCTATCTTCTGCATTCCATTCACCATCAGCCGTCAACAAGTTCACATCACACAGAAGACTCTGCACAACATGAAAACAGTCAAAATTTAAACCAATCATTTTAAAACTAAAGGGAAACTAATGGTCTTAATTTAGATGGTTCTGGTTCTCATCCCGTATCAGATCTGTGTGTGCAGATTTTTCTGCTCGTAGACTGACGCCATCACCTCAGCCAAGATAAAAGCCAAACTATAGGTCTCCTGTGTTGACCATCAACTTCATAATCATCCCATCAATGGAGGTAAAAATCTACCCTATGGGAGACCCCATGAAAAAATCAAGTAAAGATACTGTGTGCCCTGGCTAAGGCTTAATGTAGCTTCCAAGTATGTCAGGCATATTAACACTGAGCCAGCATGCTCAGTATAATGTTAAACAGCGTTATGTACAATTTAATTTGAATATCTTTAGTCTCTACTAGAATATACTTGCCTGTGTGGTTGGTCGGAGGAGTACATGATGCGTATCACAAACATAATGCTTTCGGTAATCTCGAACTTCCGCTATGATACAACCGTTGTAAAACAATTCTGGGTTTGATGCTTCCAACAGATCGACAACCACCGGAGGTAACTCCTCATTATCAATGTAGTGGAGAAGTTCATCTTCATGATATGGCCAACGCATAGTTTCAATGACACTTTCAGTAGCACTGCCACTGCTATTACTTGAACTGCTAGTGCTAGTGTTTGCACAGGTGCTAGGATGGCTACCAGCTATAAAAAGAACACAATACTAGCTCTTTCACAAAGAAGCATGTACAGCAAATGAAACTGGGCTCAAATGAGTATGCATATGCTTACTAAGACATCAAATAATGTGCAGCTACTTTGATTGCCCAACAACATTGAAGGTCTAACTTATTAACCCTATGGATACCAGCCGGCCTATCCATCGGCCAAAGCAGTAGCTGTTAAGCCACGAATTCGGCCGATCCGTCACTACCTACCATATCTGATGTTTCAATTACATACAAGGCTCCCAGATGACAACACAAGACTGCATCAGATAGTTTATACCTTAGTTAATGTTTTACTCTACAGATCAATCCTCTAGGAAAACAAAAAAAATTTTTTTTTTGAACAAATGAAATTCGTTGAGCTCAGAAGTGGACCTCATGGCTTGCTTACAATGATTGCTTGTGGATTTCGCTGTATTTTTGCTAAGATAAGTGTTTAGTCTTGTAATTGTGTTTTTAGTTGACGTTTATATAGTGCTTATGATATCGTTTCGTTATTTTCCTTAGTTTATTGTATATAGATTTAGTTTTTTAGATTTCTCACTTCGGCAATGGCTGGTGCAATTTCAATAATTGATGGAGCCGATATTTTCAATTACTTGGATACAATAGATAGTGATAGTGACATTATTCCGGAAAGTGTGTCTGATTCTACTGAAAGTGATAATGACAGTGCTGCAGAAACAAAAGGCACACCTGCTGACACTATATCCGGCATTGAATTTCCGTGTGCATTGTTTTACAAAAAGTATTGTAGTTCAGGAAAAGATAACAGTACAGACCAAACTCATATCAAATTATGCAGAAAGAAATGTTCTTTCTTGCAGGATAAGTAATAAAGAAGGAAGACAAAACACAATTTATGATATTACCTCCTGAAAATGAATTTTTTTTGTAAATATTACATTTCAATATTTCAAATTTTTTTGTAAGCTAACTATAACATTAGGATATATGAGATATTTATTTTCCTAATCTACAGTATTTAGTGTATAAGTGTGATTTTTTTCATATGCATGTGTGTAAAATTCTTATCTTAGTGAATTTTTACATTTTAAGTTGTAAACACGTAAAAATTGGCCTGGGTGTTTTCAACAGGATTTCGCAAACAGGCTTCGGGGTTAAAAGGGTTAAGAAATAAAACTAATCACACTATAAATTTTTTTACGCACAGAAATATGAAGGAAATACAGTTATATCACTCTTCAAGAAGTCTCTAAAATTCTTACCAATCTTGGACAAAACAAAATACCTGTATAATGATAAATTACATTGAGTTTATTGTAACTGTAAGCATATGACAAATCTCTGTCCCTAGCAGATATCAAGAAACATTTTAAACCACAGGGTTAATATCCACACAAAACCTCAGTCAGAATAGCCAATATTTAGACATAGATTTGAACCTGGGACCTTCTGAATATAATGTTGCAGTGCTAACCACTGGACTATAATGTCCATTAATAGCAATCATAAATCCCTTGGTCAAGAGACAGTCAACAACCATTAGTCATGTCACACGGCTCAACAGCAAACAAAAGTCAGATTCAATTCATAATATCAGAGCAATAAGAACAAAACTTTTCTGGTGTAATAGGTTATAAATCAATGAAAAAGTTGTCAGTGGAACCACGGTTCTGGAGAATTTGACGTAAATATGTCTATATGGAAAGGAATTTTATATACTGGCGTTATTCTAAATATTTCCTTCATACATGCTTTACATTTGAGATAAGTTTGATTAAGACATTGCTTATTTAACTTGAATTAGTTATGCTTAAGATATGTCTGTGGTAGCTGAATGTAATGTAATGTAAGGTAAGGTAAGGTAAGGTATATATATATATATACATTCTTGGCAGAGATGATCAGAAGTGGTTTGCCATTGCCTTCTTCTGTGTGTGAGTGGAGTAATTGTTGGGATGCCACGGAGAAACCGGGGAAGCCCCAGGAGGAAAACTCTGTAATGCCTAGACCACGGCCTTGCCCAACACAAGTTATAAATTTGAGCACCACCAGGTAAGGTTATGTACGGTAAGGTAATGTAATGTAAGGTAAGGTAATGTAATGAAATGTTTTATAGGTAACAACAATGCCGAGTAAACAGATGACGTTTCCTAGGTAACAAAAATGCCAAGTAAATAGATGTTCCTTAGGTAACCATTATTGTCGATTTGTTGATAAACAGATGAAGTTTCCTAGGTAACCATTGTTGTTTATTTATTGATAAACAGATGACGTTTCCTAGGTAACATAACAATGAAGTTACACTTTTTCGTTTCCCAGGTAACATAACAATGAAGTTTGACGTTTCCCAGGTAACATAACAATGTAGTTACACTTTTTCGTTTCCCTTTTTCGTAATACATTTTTGCCGAATGACCCTTCCTTATAGACGTATTTACGCCAAAAAACAACTGAATAATATGTAAAGGACAAACACTAAATTGACAATCAGTAGAGTTACAAAGTATGGCATGATTTAACCTCAAAATTCTTGTTGAAGTAAGTTTCCTTAAGAAAGCATGACATATGAAATGATGAGGAATGGTGGTACAAAATAACTAAAACCAAAGTTTATGTTGGTGTTTTACATTTCTACTAAAGACAAAACACAAATATTATAGGTGTAAATGCAGCTTCAATAATGAGGCAAAGAGAAGAAGGTAAACATTAATTATACCAGATTGACAGTAGATTATTTAATGATACTGTATCAACTGCGGCAATTATTTAGCACTGAATGATGTAAGAAGATGATCACATTTGGGAAACTTTAAAGGGTTGAAGGCAAAGCAGTTACAGTTAGCTTCCCAGCCAAGATTCCAATGGGGCATCTCACAAATACAAACCAGACACATTATTGAATTAGTGAACCTGTCAGATATTAACTGTTAATTATATATATATATATATAAAGTAAAACCTTCCTGCTACATGCCATGTAGGTCGTTTGGGGGGAGTGGAGGTACAGCTCCTACACTTTCTTGACCTCGACACTAGACGGGGGTAAGTGGTCAGTATCACACCCCAGTCACACTTTACCCCTGGTAAATGACCTCGTTACCCATTGGATAGGAGGCTGGGTGGGCCCCAGAGCCAGTCTGAATGCAGAGGCTAGAGGAAAAAATCTCCCCCCCCCTCTCTCTCTCTCACAATGTGTGACCCATACCTATTTTCTATAAAATTAACATGTTCTGAATTTTGACATAAGGTTAGCAGAGACATCTGGTGCATAAAGTCACACCCAACTCTACATATAGCCTAATCCTACTTACCTCCTGATTTACTGTGGATACGTATACCAATCGAGTAACCTTTGTTTCCGGGATACAGGTTTACTATCAGAGTATGTAGATGCTCGCGTTTCACAAGTTTGTCCAGGAGATGTGAGCAGGATTTAAGATGCTGAAACATAGACAAATCAAGCAAGTTTAAGAACACAAATTTTAATTACAAGGTCATCTGTAAAGATAACGTGAATGCTTTCTGTTGCCAGAAACTGACCACTGAACCTGAATCATTTATAGGCCATTATCAACAGCAGAATATGTTAACTTTTTCTTACCAACGGACACCCCAGTAATTAGATTTCAGGAAGAAGTATTACTTAATGACATGAACTTATATATGAGTGATGTCTGAAATTATACATTTATGGCAACATTTCTTCTTTTTAATATTTTCATATTAATAACATTTGCCAATTTCAATACTTCTGTACTTTAGCTGCTCCAATATATTGTATCCTTTTTCAAAATAATTTTAGAGATAAGATTTACAGTATACTCATATGAAGGTTACCAAAACTTCAGGAGATCATCAGTAACCAGTAATCAGTCATAGGGTTTGACACTATTTCATAGTCAGGTCTGAGATTAAAAACCTGTCCTATAAATCAGCTATTCTGAGATTTTTAATGATTTTCTTCATTTCACACTAGTCCTCTAAAATGTCAGCATCTATCTACAAGTCAAATCTTACAAGTCAGCACATCATTACTACCCAGAAGACCAACATAAAATGTTCTAAAAGTAAAATTTGTACCCTTATAAATAAATAATGGTGTCTATTGTTTGAAGATGGCTGTCTTCTGGGTTGTAGTGCCATGCAGTCTGGTACAAATTTACCAGCATTACTGAGGTCTTTGCTGCCTCCATCATCAGGGTGATGATGCCACTACAACCCAGTAGACAGCCATATTCAAACTCACCAATGCAAAAACCTCAAATCCTGATGAGTCTATTTATTTATATTACTATTTATAGTTTATTTCATGATGCCATCAGCATTCCAGACTACATAGCCTTGAATGAGAGGATGATAGTGAATAATTAATTGTAGAATGTGAAAGGAAATGGTAACAGTCTAATTTAAGGTTCTGCTCTGACATTTGCCTGTAAGGACTGAGGAAAAACACAGAAAACCTCACTCAGGATAGCTAGTCACTGGGACGAGATTTGAAACCAAAATCTCTCAAACACAAAGTAGGAATACCAACCACTTGACTATGATATTCAATAATGGCATCTATTATTGGGATAAATAGCAGCTACTTGGATGTAAATGAACTGTTATTGTAATTTATGTGTGAATTAACATGTTAACTAATTAGTTAACTAACTAGATGGCTTACCGAACCCGAAGCTTCATCACCGAATTAACCAAAGCCATCCAACGGACCCTGTCCTGGGCCAATAAAATCCAGTCTCCTTCAACTCCTATCTCCCATAGATCCCAACTGAGATTATCCTACCATCTAGGTCCAGGTCTCCCCAGCGGTCTCTTCCCCTCAGGCTTCCCAACCAATACCCGGTGCACACCTCTCGTCCCATCCATGTGTGCTACATGCACACAGTAAATTGTTAAGTTCTTGTGAAAGTAATTTGATTACATTTACCTTATCAGGTTGATGTGAGTCTCTGGAACATTCCTCCTCATAAAGTTCTCTCAGTTTCTGGTGAATTGAGAAAAATTCCTTGCCATTCTTCTCTTGGTACTGAGGCACAGACTGAGGGCACTTCTTTGCTATGTGCAATATGTGCTGGAGACAGAAAAATAACTGTTATTCATTGAATCAGTAATTAGTGAAGCTATACAAAATGTACCCTCATACTAAACCTGTGATACATCTTTACAGAACTGTGAGTAGTCAGATTAGGAAAATCACAATGGCTCATAAATAAAATCCAAATTCAGAGACAGGTATTCATGGTCACTTTATAGTAAAGCTGATTCAAAACTGCAATCAATACAAAAACCTCTGTTTTAATAATTTTTACTAAAAGTCTACATTAGTTTATACAGAACAGTTTATTTTATCAGTGTCTTATTACTATTCTCTAATAAAGCAGCTGATACAATATACAACTGTATTCTGCAATCAATCTCATTAAAAGTATTACAGTTTTTATAAATTTAAAAATATATCTTTTAACATTATAGTAAAAAGTTGAATAAGGTGGGACTAGTAACTACAACAAAGTATGAACTGACAAGCCCAAAAAAGGTTATGATAGTATGTAACGTTTGATAACTAAAAATAAAAACCGAATTAAAAACACATACACTGCAAGTTATTCCACTAAAACACTTAAAATTATGGGCACATATATTTTGTGAATAAAGATAATAACAGGCCATGGCCACTTTTCTGACTGACAAATCCATGTTCGTCAAACACTGAAATAAGTTTTTAAGTTTTAAAAAGTAGTTATAGAAAAAGGTTTTCTTACTTTTAAGCTGTACATGGTTGGATACTTACTTCAGCTTCCTCACATGCAGCCTTCAGGCTTTGCATCGTTGTCGTCTCTAGATATCACCATTCAGCTAACCAGAGAGGAGATTTCGATATTCACAACCGAAATGGGACCAATAAGACCCTAGAAGAAATTTTTTTGTTTATTGGAATAAATCCACATTTCCATATACTGAAGCCTAAGGGAAATGAAAGCATTTCTTCAAATGTATCTCAAACATGGTGTCTTACTATAACAAGGCAATTCTTATTTAGGCAATTAGGTCAAATGGCAGACATTTCAAAAGAACACCAAAACACTTAGCCATCAACACTGTAAAACCATAAGCACGAATATTAACATAACACATTAATATAAAAAAAACAGAAGCGAAGGTTACAAGTAACATTTCATGAATTAAACAATGTAGATAGTGAAGAGGCGGTTCAGGTCTAAACCCAAAATATTCTGCCCTTTCTATATAAATCTGCATTGTGTTTCTGCAGCAATTTAACAACAAAAATGCTGAAAGTGGTATGATATGTGTCACACTACTACCCCATAGCAGTTCTGTTCAAATAGCATGCACTTCACACTAAACAGAACAAAATCTGTAGCTTTTATAAGCTTAACGGGCGGATAATCAGTGTTCACTACTTTCAAATCTAAACAAAATAAGCATTTATCACATTTCAAGCAATCTGACAAGTGGGTGATCCTCCTCCTCTGACATTGCTTGTTAAGATAAATACCTCCTCACCATTCCTTTGCTGTGCGCTGTATAAAGTGATGATCTGAGGTGAAAAGGTTTCAAATTAACGGCTGTTATGATTCTTCTCAACATAAAATACACAACAAAAGCACCGACAGGTTTGCAATTTTACATGTCCCACCTTACGGTTGTCTGCTCTGGACGTCCTAAAGACGGCCATCAGCTGCCCGCAAAGAATGCACGGATTCTAACCCTAGTCTTCGGGTACAAATTATAACAAGTCTAGTATATTTTAAAATATGGTGGAGTACATTTAATGAACTGTTAATGCGAAACATTAAAAATTAATACCCTTGAAAACCTATGTTACACGTGAAAATTATCCGACGAATACCCAGTTTACAAACATACTGGGCCGATACTACCGATTCCTGCCGGTAAGTGTATGCGATTAGACTTTGCCATTTACTTACAGCTCTGCATGTTTACACCATCTCTTGAGAGAAAATCAAACTACTTTGATGTTTGAAACTCATGTGTTGTTAGCTTTAGAAAGCAAATTTAACAAAAATCTAAGTCACTTACAAATTACAAGGAATTCATTTTCAACATGAAAGAGGCTGTCTTATCAAACTGCGAAAAATCATTTGTTCTGCGCGCTATAGGTGGAGGAAAGGTAAGGTTAGTTTTGTCTTTTAGGTTATGTAAATTACAGTAACTGTTGAGTATCTTTGCAGTTTTTACATTATTTAAAACTTTAATGATGACCATAAAGAGTCACAGCGTTGTAGTATGTAATTACCAGAAAGTAATTAGTACTTAAAGAAATTCTTTGTATAACTCTGAATGTGGTTACTAAAAAGAGCCCTTATATTGAGGTCAGTATATTAAATCCATACTGTACTCCTGGAACTAGTAGAGAACAAATGCGGATTTAAGATGATGGTTGTCTTCAGGGTTGTAGTCTGGTACAAGTTTACTCATCACAATGACTCATTGCCCTGAATATGAAGGCAGCATATGCCTCTGAAATGTTGGTAAACTTCTACCAGACTACACAGCACTACAACTCAGAAGACAGCCATCTTCGGACCCACTGCCATGAAAACCTTAAATCCCACTAAATGCAGTTTTACTTCATTACTTGTTGTAAGCACTGTAATTAATGAAATCCATAAACAAACTTCATATATTCCAAAACCATTCCTTGCTAGTCCAGAAGTCATTATTAGCAAACTATATGAAATGGAATTATATTGTTCCAACAACAAAAGTTTTTTCCCCTTTCAATTTTAGTTTCTGTGTGTTCTAAAGCAGTGGTATTCAGCCTTTTTTGTTTGCGTACCCCCAGATATAATTTCTCTTCAACTTTGTACCCCCAAAGTTGTTGGTGTATAATTCAAGTTATACGTACTATATAATCTACATCTAAAATAAATTAAATAAATTACATTACTGATTATTCAGTGTTTATCATAAAACAATATATATATTTTTAAATTTCAAGTACCCCTGGAGGTATGTGTAGCCCAGGTTGAATACCACTCTTTTAAAGTACATATATTTGAAGATACAACTCAGTTATGTTCAGCATTTTTAATTGTCTGAGGCACATTTCATACTATCATTTAATGAGTTGATTTGTTTTCTGTCATCAAGAGGACTGTTCATTATACTGACAATGATTGCTTCTCATTGTACTGACAGATTATTACATTATTTGTTTTCAGACAGTGGGGCGGGGGGAAGGGCCAAGATTCTTGTTGTTGGCACAAATAAATTTCTTATGAATTTAATTACATGAACTAAATGAAGACTGAAGAAATGCCAGCTCCAGAGTTGTATAGATATTAAGTATACCACAGGCACACAGTTTCAACACAAGGAATGATATCAGCTTCATAGACCAGTTGCAAACATCTCATGTTTTGAAAAAGTGTTCTTATTATGCTGGCATAAAAATTTTCAACAGTCTACCATCTAGTCTCACAAGTCTTTTAAATAAAAAGACACAATATAAGTAGCATTAAAAAGATACTTAATTACACTCTTTTACTCTTGATCTATTGATGAATTTCTAATGTTTACAAGTAACTCAGAATATTCATAAGGTTTTTTTTGTCTTTATATACTATAAATGGTTGGTATAATTGATGGTAATTTATCTACTTCATGTAATGGGTGGACTTATTTATATGATATCTATATAATAGTTTGAATTTTTTCTTTTTTATGTTTGTTGAATTATTATGGCCTATTCCACATCCTGTCCCATCTAACTTATGGATCCATGGAAATTAATAAATATGTATGCATGCAATAGTTACTGGACAATATCCAGTGTAATTGATAACAGCAGTAAATCAGATGATATGACAAAAATTTTGTATTTATGTTCTTAAGCGCTTAGATGGGCGTCAAATGGATGAAAGCAGAGAAATACGGATTTACTTTGGAACAGATTGGGGCTGCTGTCAGGTTTCTTTGGGTGAAACAAAGTAAGTCACTATAGTTCATATCAGATGTCTGTATAGAATTAGACCAATGTTCCATTTACAATACCATGAACTTTGTACAATCTGCAACATCACAAACTGTATTACGTCTGCCATTTGTACCATTAGCAGTATTATTGAACAGTTTCGGTGATACTTTATATATATATTTATATATATATGATGGAAAATCAAATTTGGCATGTTTCTACAAGTGAACACAACCACATGGTGACAATATACCTTACACTAATAACCAGCATTGTTTTTGTTTTTTATGAAGTACTGTCATATTTTCATTTCTATTTCAAAAATGCCTATTAGCTTTTGAATTGTAATACCAGTTTCAGTTGAACTCAGTATTGTATTTCTATATGAAAGTTAGTCAAACCATTTTAATTTAGTTGGTTTATTTTAAGAATAACATTATTTAAGGGCTAACAAAACTTCTATGCATATGTTCTGGGTCCTTAGATTTTTTACAGTTTATTCCCTTTCTTATGAAGCTTGACTGTCACTGGGACATACAGTCACAATATTGGGGCTGGGGTAGCCTTCAGTTGCAGAAGAATAAGATATTTGTATTGTCAACAGTTCAGTGTTGTCATGTTTTACTATTTAGTCACTGCGGGCCTGGCCCGAACCACCTCACTTGCCTGTAAAATATACTTGGCAACATGAGTTCAGCTGTGTACCAAGTGACCCAACTGAAATCATCTGAGAAGCACATGAATAGTTGGTCCACCCCACACTCCCCACCCTGTTACATAAAATTCTTCTGACTGGTTTTCACGCAGACTTCATGAGAAAATAAATCTGCTATAAAACTTAGCATATATAATTGCTAGTGAACGCTGGATGCAAGTTTAATTCACTTTACTTTAAATCCAGCTTTACTCAAAAGCTTCTACAAATTCTGGAATGTATTGTCCAAAGTATTCACCTGAGAGATAAATTTCTCGGTGAATGTTTTAGTCAGGCTAGCCATATAAAAACTGAAGACATGCCCCATGATCTGAACTAAATCTCATGGGTCACTTTAGTTAGATTTAAAGTTCTAATGACAGTGAGTTTGAAGATGACTATCTTCTTCGATGTTACACTGTGTAGTCTGGTAGAACTTTACCAAAGTTTCAGACGTGCTTGCTGCCTCTATCATCAGTGTGATGAACTAGACTACATGATGTAACATCATAGAAAACACCCATCTCTCTATATGCTTTGGTATTCACAAAACTGGCACAAATTTACATGAAATGATTCACCTTCCCAGAGTATTAGCTCAGGTTTCATGTGAGGTGCAGCAACCCAAGGCAACTCGTCCTAATGAAGGCCTGCTGTTCGTGAACGTAGAGCTAAGCCCCATGGGAGCACCACATTTTGAAGTAGGTCGACAGTCAGAGTTGGCTGTGCAGCTCAATCGTCTTCTAGAGAAGTGTATAAAAGATTCCTCTTGTGTTGATCTTGAGTCTTTATGCATTGTGGCTGAAGAAAAGGTATGTGTTAGTTATTTCAGATCTTATATTAAATTTACAAATACTATCTGATCATATCTAATATTAACTTCTTATTAAAGTTAATTTTTATGTTATGGAATTCCTTATTGCCTATTAACAAATATTTTTTTATAATTACCATCAGTGCATGTATGTATGATGCCCCAAATTAGGTGCACATTTGTGTGCTGTCTGTCAGATAATTTTTTATTCACACATTATCTGAACTAATGTGTTCAACTAGACATCAAATTATTATTATTATGTGACAAACATAGCATCACATGGATTTTAGAGATTAATTTGTTTGGGTGCTTCACTGAGTGTGTGTTATGGTCAATGAAGACGTTCTATAAGAGCAATGATAATGAAAATTATAATTATTATCACATTGAGAATTCAAACTCTGAAAATATATGCTGTCATTCAGATCAGAATCATTTGACCTTGTTAAAGCAGAAGCAGTAATAGCAATGTATGTTCAGGTTCCATAACAGCAGAAAATATGAATTGCTTAAATATTGCTGTATACTAGGGAAATACTTCCTTATAAATTATAAACATATTTTATTGTCCTTCTCCTTCATCATACCTGAAGACAAGGGCAGATCCAGTTGTGTAATTTTATAACATCAGACAATGGACAAAGTCCAAAAACCCAACAATCCAGAACATGTTTTATATAGAAGTTTTAATTCATTTAAATTTTTATTTGAAGACTTACAGAAATTGCATTAATAATACAGGTGTGGGCACTACGGGTTGATATAAATGTGTTAAATCATGAGGGCAATCTTGTGGACGCAGCTTCAGCCGCTGCCTTAACTGCCCTTTCTCATTTCCGCTGCCCAGATGTTACAATAAAAGGAGAAGAGACCATCATCCATGATCCACTAGAAAAGGATCCGATACCTTTAAGTCTCCGCCATTATCCTGTGTGTGTGTCATATGCAATTTTCAACAAAGGGTAAGTATGGGGTCATTCTTATGTTTGCAAATAATACAAAAAGTTTCACTGAAATATTCACAGAGAAATACTTTTGTGACCATGAATAGAAAAAAATATATGATGATTAGTCCCCAGGAGTAAAATGCAACTGAGTAATGAAACTGATGGTAGCTCAGTCAGTATAGTGACTGACTATGGACTGAAAGATTGGGGTTTGATCCCCAGTGGGGGCAGAGCATTTTTCCTCTAGCCTCTGTGTCCAGACTGACTCTGGGGCTCATCCACCCTCCAGTCCAATGGGTATCTGGGTCTTTGCCTGGGGTAAAGTGCGATTGGGGAGTGACGCTGACCACTCACCCCTATCTAGTGTGCAGTTTAAGAATGAGTAGGAGCTGTACTGCCTCTCCCCCAAGCTCCTCAATGGCATGTAGCAGGAGAGTATTGCTTTTACAGGAATAAAATAAATTGTTTTAAAAATCTTACAGAGGATGAAATTACATTTCTTGATGATCACACAATATTTATGTTAACTGCAAATTACTATGTTATGATACTCAAGAACTGTATTTTCATCATATATAAGGCTTTTTAAATAATATTTCCTTATTTGTGCCCTTTTTTGGACATGTACATTCAGGACAGTTTACACTGTAAATGGATCACTTTTAAACAATGTCATAAAGAAGTTCAGGAACACCGATATAAAATAATGTCTATGCTGTATCATGCTAGGATCCAGGATTATCTTTGCAAAATGGAAGGTTTTGTTATTAAGGTGTTGTTAAGAAGGAAGTTTGTTATTTCCTTGAAAATTGTACTAACAGATCCACTACACATTTTCAGCGAGA